CAGGTGTTCTGTAGAGAGAAATGCTATTTTCTGGAGCCACGGCCCTGAGCCAGATGGGCCCCACCAGCATCCTGGTAAGAGTCATTGAATGATGGATGTGAGCATCATGATTTGCAGGTGTCCTGGTACGGCATCTTGTGTGTTTCTGAGGCATATGTCTGTATATGTTTTTCAGGTTCCCTGGAGGAAATCCTGACAAAAAGGAATCACCATCAGGGGACATGTCTGCTGTCTGGTTAGTGATGGTGTTCGCAGTAAACTCGCCACAGACCAGGCGATCTCCACCTATCTAGGTAAGTGAGGTTCCTTTGCCTGAACAGTTTACCATGTGATGGGCTAACGGCTATTATGGAAAGGAAGAGTAGTGACTCCCCATTCTCCTCACCATGTGACCTTATTGGTAACTGTCCTAGAGAGAATGTAAGATGTATGTACTCTGTGAGTGCAGATTGATTGGCACATACCCAGGGAACCCACGTGGCACTGTGCATCACAGGAGTTTCTTCGGTGGAGTTACAGGGAAGCCGGCCAGGGAAAGTGGCGTGTCCTACAATGGCCTAGACCTTGGAGGGCCCACAAGCATCCTGGTAGATTTTTGGCTCCTACAATGATGATAGTGAGCAGGTGGCTTGCAGGATTCTGGTGTTAAAGCAGTGTCCATAGACACATTAGTCACATATGTGATTTCAGATTCAGGCAGGCAGAAGTCAGAGCATGAGGACAGCCTTGAGGTCTCTCCACGAGAATCACGGATTATTGTATTTGGTAGGAATTCAGGTATGAGATGATCATGGCTCTTATCATTGCAGTGACTATGATATTTTCAAGGAATCCAAGAAACAGATGATGGACGTGTCCATAACCATGATAGTGCCCATGGGATTTTGTAGCTATAGAATGAAAAGATGACAGTGGCCATATCCATGGTAATGTCTGTGGGATTTTATAAATATCCAGGTAAGAAATAAGTGTTTCTACTTAAGAAGTGAACATGGGATACTGAAGTTATAAAGGTAAGAAATGGTAAACCTGATTGTGTGGGTGACCATGGTATTTTCTACACATCCGGATAAGGCTGGATGGTGACCCTAATTCGAGTATCAAAATTGGATTTTGTGAGGTAGGCACCTCGGAGCTGATGATGTCCCTTCCCATGTGAGTGAACATGGCATTTTGTGGTATTCTGGATGTAGTGGCGAACCTAACCCCAAAATGACCATGAGGTTTGTCAGGGTCCTAGTAAAGAGAAGATGGTCCCCTTAACCATGAAAGTTATAATGTCATTTTGTCAGTCAGTAATTAAGAGATGATGGTGACCCTGCCACTCCAGTGAATAAGGAATTTTGCAAGTCACCGGGTAAGAGATGATGGTGTCTAAAAATGTGGTGACTGTCGGATCCAATCAAGGAATAATGTGTTACTAGAAATGATAGTACCAAGGTACTCAGCAGTTAGCCACGAAAGAAATGATGTGTCCCTAGCGATGGCATTTAATCTGAGTAATTTGTAGGTCCCCATGTATGGTAGGTTTTTCCAAATCTGGTAGAACACATGGCCTTCTGTAGGTATCCACATGAGAGATGACATGTCACAAAGTGTAAGTACTGCCACTACTGTAGCCAGGGTATTTTATAAGTATCCAGCTAAGAGGTCTGGCTTTATCTATGTGTTGCATGTTAGACTATCATGTTGTCTATTTTTTTCTTTTTTTTGAGATAGTGTCTGGCTGAGGTAAGTGCTGATGCAGGCCTAAACCACAACCCTCACCGTGGGACTGTCACAGAGACCCAGTTCAGTAGTGGTGTGTCCCTACACGTCTTCCCACTGTGATTTCTTTCACAGGTACTCAGGTGACAAGTGATTGAGTCCTTACCATTCCCAGATAGGCCAGGTTTTCCCATTTTCTGTTTCAACAAAAGTGTATGCTGAAACCCGTGAGTGTTGAGGGATTGCAGGGAGCCAGGTGTTTATCACTGTATTCCCTGCCCCCATGCTGCCCCTAGGATGTCTACAGGTGTGCAGTCGGGAAACGGTGGTGTGCTGCTATCACGATCGACCTGAGATTACTACAAGTATCCAGGTCAAGTGGGTATGTCCCAAAAAGATGGAAATCATCAAGGTTCTTTGTAGGAGTGCTATGGAAAACCCTGTGTCCTTCTACACATGTGTCTTCTACACATCTGATTTTGCAAGCTGCCAGAGAAGATACGATGGTGTCTCTAAAAATGTGGTGACCATGAGTTTTTGCAGATAACCAATTAAGTTATTTGCAAAACTAGAAATGGTAGTCCCAAGGCATTTTACAGTTACCCAGGAAATAAATGATGTTTATTTAATTTGGGTAATTTGTAGGTCTCCATGTCTGGTAGGTATTTCTGTATCTGGTCAACCTGATGGTATTCTGTAGGTATCAACATGAGAGATGATGTGTCACAAGTTGTAACCAAGTGCCAAGGTATTTTACAAGTATCTCACTTAAAGCTCCGGTGAATATAAGTTTTTGAAGATACCCAGTGGGAAATGATGTTGGCCTAAGCCGTGGTAATGCCCACTGGTAGTGCCCATATCTTGGTAATAGTTGGTGTGTGTCTGATTATGGTTGTCCCTATGGCTTTTTTTTTTTTTTTTTTTTTTTTTTGCAAATTCCAGCAATATAATGAAGACAATCTTAACCACTCTTATGAACAGAAGATTTAGCAGGAATTGAGGAAAGAAATAATGTGGGCTTTAACCAAATGGACATGATTAGATTTTAGGGATTTCTAAATAAGTGATCATGGTGTCCCTAACCATGGGATTTTGCAGGTTGTAGTCAATAGGTGGTGATGAATTTAACAGTAGGCGCAAACATGGGAATTATTGATACCTAGATAAGACATGATGTGGTCCTTAAACATATTACAGACCATATTATTCTTTAGATATCTACATAAACAATATGTCCTGAAATCTTGATGTAACCATTTTTTTTTTCACATTTAAAAAGTTGCTCATTCTCAAATATTTGTGCAGGGCTGATTTCAGGCTATAGGAATGCACCAGCAGCCGGCCCGATGGCTCACACCTTAATCCCTGTACTTTGGGAGGCCGAGGCGGACACATCACTTGAGGTCAGGAGTTCGAGACCAGCCTGGCCAACATAGTGAAACACCATCTCTATTAAAAATACACAACTTAGCCAGGCGTCCTGGCACATGCCCATAGTCCCAGCTACATGAGAGGCTGAGGCATGAGAATTGCTAGAACCCAGAAGGCAGATGTTGCAGTGAGCCAAGGTTGGGCCACTGCAGTCCAGACTGGGCGACAGAGCAGTTCTTTACCCCCCGCCCCCCATACCCCCCACAAAAAGTAAGGCACCAGAGTCATGAAATAACGATCTTACCACATAGGGCGTAAAAAACGAAACCTCGAAAAATATTACCATATTTCAAAAGACTTGTGGAAAATAATTAAGGACCAGGTAGCAGAAATTGTGATCAGAAGAAATAACATAAGAATATACTTAAGTGCACAGTACATAGCTGGAAGGCAAACTGTTTATCCTTCTAAAACCATTACTATGATCAACACAGACAAGAGACACTTTCCTGAAAGGTTAAATTGGTTCATGAGAAATAAAAGCAACCAAAATGAGCCACATTACCTACAATAGAAGAGACCATATGGAAAAAGTTCTATGGCAAGAGCTAATTAGTTAGTATACAAAAAGATTCACAAAAAATGCCTCAACTTTAGACACATTAGATATTGCACACTAAAAAAACCCCAAAAAACAAAAAAACAAAAAAAACCAAAGGAACATTTTGAAAGCTATTTTAAATTTAATTAATTGCTGAATGTCTCCTTGGCTACTAGTTGAACAGTCATTATTTAGTCCCACATCTCTCTCACCATTTTGTTTGCAGACCATCTAAAAGCCTTATTTCCTCATCTATTTGACGGATGACCAAAATGGATCCTACAATATGATCGCACAGGATAATCTTGGAAAGTATGACTAAATTATTTTTAAAGGCATTATTTTTCTCCCTTGATTTTCAGATTCTTTCTCATAATTTCTAAAACAGTGTCGACAGTGGCCTGTACTATGTCTTCATTGATGTCATCCCTGAGATCACTCTCAATTGCTCTCGAACTTGTTGTTGGCCTTTCGTGTAGATATGAACTGTGACCTGGCGGATCTGACTGTTGTTGCTGCTGCTTCTGTTCCTGCCGATGCTTTTCAAAATAGTCTTTTATTTTCTTTGGCTCTTCCGAAGCAGGAGTTCCACATGATGTCTTTGGAAGATCTTGCGATGTGTTTCTGGAACTACCTTGCATGCTTAGTTCAATAGCCCTGCGGAGATCTTCATCTTCTTTATTGGTTTCTTGGCGACTTAGTTCCAGGGCCCTCTGAAAATCCTGCTCTTCTTGGTCTGATGTTCCAGACTCATCACTTTCTTCTGACACTTTTTCAAGAATTGTTTTATAGACTCTATGGTCTTTTTCTTTGGCTAATTTTTTTCCATTAAGTTTTGGTCTGTCCATCTCTTCAACACTGATGATTTGCAGCAGTTGGTCAGCTTCACAGTCTGGCAGATCCCCCTTAACAACAAATACAGAATATGCTTCCTGTTGCAGTTGAGTCAAGAAATTTGCAAGGCCTGTATCTGATATTAATTCTGGACCCGCCAAGAGAGAATTCAAGTTAAACCAGTGTTTTCCGAATTTTCTAATAGTAAACCAGTGTTGTTTATAATTACATATAAAAGATCGTTCATTTATAGGATCAATCCCGAGCTTCTGATATTCAGGATTATTGAAATGGATGACCTCTAAACCCCAGAACTTCAAGGCATTGCATATTACCTGGATGGAGAAGAAGCCGCTATCATCCATGTTTTCTGAAGGCTGCTGTAAAAATGCGCGATAGTCTTCACTAGTGACTCCTCCTTCTGCCATTCTCATCCTCTCTTCTTCATCTAGCTGATGTGCAATTGAAGCTAATTCCACAGGGCTAAAATATTCTCCTTGCAGCAGATTGTTCAGGCAGTGCTGAGCACAAAGAAAGCCTTCTTGTTTTTCATGAAAGATGAAATCCATGTTGATTCTAACCGTGAGTTTTTGTATATATGTGGGAACATGTTATATGCCCAGCTATGGCAGTTATCTGGGCAGTTTGTAGATAGCCATGAAATAGGTGTTAGGTTTTCAAACCTTATGAAGACCATGGGTGTCTGTAGGTATTTAAGTAAGAGATGATATGTCACAAAGCACTATTGTGACCAAGGTGGTTTTGCCAGTATCTAGTCAAGACCTGATGGTAAACCTAAAGTGAATATGGGATTTTGGAGTCATCCCATAGGGGATAATGGTGACTTGAATCATGGCAGTGCCCATTGATTTTCAGATGTCCTATAAAATATAATGTCTCTTTAATTATGGTTGTCAGCATGGTTTTAGTAAGTGAATAAAGGTGAAATTTACCACAGTACTAAACAGAAGATTTGGCAGATAACTGGGAAAGAAATAACATGGGCTTTAACCAAACAGACATCATGGGATTTTGGAAGTCTCTGGGTAAGTTTTGATGTCACTGACCACAGTAATAGCCATGGAATTTTGAAGGTTCCACTCAATAGATGACAACAAAACTCACGGTAGCAATGAAGATGGGACTTTGCTGGTATCCTAGTTAGAGATGATGTGGGCCTTAAAAACATTAGTGACCAAATGATCTTCAGACATCTAGAAAACTGATGAAGATGTCCTGAACTCTTTTCACATCCATGTGTTTTTATAGGTGTTCAGATAAGAAATGTGTGTGCCCAACAAAAGTAGTAACCATTAGATTTTACTGTTTTCTAGTTCAGAGACAATCTCTCTCAAACTTAGTAGTGACAAAGATATAGCAGGCATCCAGGTAGGATATCACAGAGTCCCTTACCACAGTAGTAACTATAGGATTTTTGCAGGTGTCCAGTGAATAGACAGTGTGTGAAACTACTGTGTTGACCTTGGACTTCTCTAAGTGTCCAAGTACACTTAGTGATGCCCTAATGATCGTAGTGAGTGTATGCACGGAATGAGCAGGGGGCCAGATGGAAGGACATGCATCCTGACCAGGGTTACCACCATATGTTTTCTCAGCAGGTAGTCAAGAGATAATGGTGTCTCTAACTACAGCATTGGCCTCAGAACCTTAGGATTCAGGTAGAGTTCATGGTTCCCGTAACAATACTAGTCACCGTGGGATTTTTTGAGGTCCATGTAGAAGATGTATCCCTAACCACCACTGCTGCCATATGGTTTTGCAGGCTCCTATCAAGAGATAATGGTGAAACTCATATTGGTCATTTTTGTAGGCATTTCATGGAATCTGGCTAAGTGATTATGTGGACCTTAAACATAGTACAGACCATCTGCTCTTCAGACATCTCGGTAAGTGATGATGTCCTCAACATGTGTTGGTATCATGTGTTTTGCAGGTATTCAGGTAAAAAAAAAAAAAGATACTGGCTCTACCAATAAGTATTGGAATCCATGAGACTTAGCTTAACCAGTTTTCTGGTTTAGAGATATTGTGTGTTTAACCTTAGGAGTGAATGAGAAATTTTCAGGTATCTAGGTAAGTGATCATAACTTTCGTCATAACTGTAATGACCATGAGTTTTTTATCAATGCCCAGACAATAAATGATGGTGCCTGTACCAATGTGTTGACCTTCAGGTTCTGCCAATATCTAGGTAGCATTAATGAGTTTGTAAAGATGGATGTGACAAAAGTTATTTGCATATGTTCTGCTAGAAAAAGTTGCATTCTTAAACACATCTGGCACAATGTGATTTTTCAGGTTTCAGTCTAAAGATTAAGGTAACCCTAACAATGGGGATTATCATGGAGCTTTGCTGGTATCCAGACAAGTGATGATGTCGGTCTTATCACACAGAAGACATTCTGACCTTCTGAAATTTACGTAAGTGATGATGATACCTCTAACGTTTGTGTTACTGTGTTTTTTGGTTTTTTTGCAGATATTCAGGCAAGAAATTGTAGTGTTCCCATAATTCCTATTGAAGAGTACACCCTTACTGCTTACTAGTTCAGAGATAATGTTTTGAAATCTGGCTAAGACTGAGGGATTTGTAAGTTTCCAAGTCAATTTTCATAGTGTTTCTCATCTCAGTATTGACCATGGTATTTTACAGGTACCTAGTCAAGTGATTATGACATATCCATGGTTTTGACCTTGATATTCTGCAAGTATCAAGGTAAAGTTGATGGTTCTCCTACTGCTAGTGATTCTTATGAGATGTTGCATGGTCTAGGTGGGAAAAGACATATCTCTAACCATGGCTGCCTTCATGGATGATGCTGAAACTAACAATGATAGTGAACATGGACTTAGCTAAAAGAGAGGGAAAGGATGGTGTGAACCTTTACACATTAGAAAGCTTCAGATTTCAGTTATCTAGGTAAGTGTTGATCGTGCCTGTAATACTGTGGTTACAACAATGTTGTTTTTATAAACAGGCATTCAGGTAAGGGCAGTGCTAATATAAAGGTGAGAAGTGATGTGGCATTTATACACTAGAGACCCGAATTTCAGGTATCTAGGAAACTGATGGTGATCATATCTGTAATAGTTACCTGGTTTGGTACAGCTTTGCAGGGAAGAAATGAACTGGCTCCACTAGTAAGAGTAAGCATGCGATTTTTTGTATTCTCATTTAGTGCTAATTTGTACTAAGGTGTATTAAACATATTTTTCACAATACGCTTTTCAGGCTCCTTTCATAAGATTATAGTGAGCTTAACAATGGCCATTAATGGTGGACAGGTATAATCAGATGTATATCAAATATAACATTTCTCATAATGTGTTTTTCAGGATTCTGTCAGAAGATTATGGTGAGCCCAATAATGGTAGTTGATGTGGGACACTGCTGGAATATAGGTAACTGATGTGGTAAGTTTAAATCCCAGCACGTCTACTTAATTTTCTTGTATCTAGGTAAGTGATTAATGATGTCCCAAATACTCATTACTGTGTTTGTTTCTTTTTTCTTTATGTATTCAATGATGAAAAGTTCTTACTAGTAATAGAATCCATGAGTTCTTTCTTTTCACATTTTAGGGGAAATTTGTACAACTTTGTGAGTATTGAGGGATTGTCATAGTAATTCTCATTGTGTTTCCCACCACATTCGTAATCATGGAATCTTTGCAGTTATCCAATCAAGAAATTATGATCTTTTCTAAAATGGTGTTTACCTTGGTGTACTACAAATATTCAAGTAGAGTTCATGCATCCAGTAATATTGGAAGTAACTAAGGTTAGTTGACAGCATCGTCATAGAAAATAAATTGTGTCCTTTAACATGTATTTTCTAAAGTGTTTTTCGGGTTACTGTCAAGAGAGCACGGGAAACCTAAAGATGGTGGTTAACATTGGACATTGCTGGTGTCCAGGTAAGTGATGATGTGAGCCATAGTGGTGGTATTGGCCTGAAGGGGTGGCCTACCCCTCCACACCTGTGGGCGTTTCTTGTTAGGTGGAAGGAGAGATTTGAGAAAAGAAATGAGACACAGAGACAAAGTATAGAGAAAGAAAAAAGTGGGCCCAGGGTACCTGTGCTCAGCATACAGAGGACCCACGCCAGCACGGGTCTCTTGAGTTCCCTTAGTATTTATTGATAATTATCTTTACCGTCTTAAAGATAAGGGAGTGGCAGGACAATAGGATCATTGAAGGGAGAAAATTAGCAGTAAGACATATGGATAAAGATCTCTGTGACATGAATAAGTTCAAAGGAGAACGCTGTGCCTTGATATGCATATGCAAACATCACCATAAACCTCTTAGCAGCATTGCACCAGCAAGTCCCGCCAGCAAGTCCCACCTTATGCTGTAAGGCGGTTTTTTCCTATCTCAGTAAACAGAGCATACAATCGGGTTTTACACCCAGATGTTCCATTGCCCAGGGAGTGGCAGGATTTTTAACCAGCAAGCTGCCTTCAGGCACTTGTTTAACAAAGACACATCATGCACAGCCCCAAATCCATTAAACCTTGAGTCACTACAGCACATGTCTCTTGCAAGGACAAGGTTGGGGGTAGGGTCACAGATTAACAGCATCTCAAATACAGAACCAAATGGAGTCTCTTATGTCTACTTCTTTCTATATAGACACAGTAACAGGCTAATCTCTCTTTCTTTTCCCCACATTGGCCTCTACTTACTGTTGTCAGTTTTTGGATTTTTTAAAGTATTCAGGTACGAAATGATAATCTCCTTACTATTACTATTAACTATGTTAAGTTTGTTTTATATATTAATGTAAACTTATGTTTAGCCTAGTGAGTGTTGGATTTGCAGGTATCTACGTAATTCTTATGATGTCTTGCTTCTTAGATGTAACCCCGGGACTTCTGGAAGTGTGCAGTGAACAGAATGTGTTTTCACTAACAGTAGTGCAGACCATAGAATGCTACAAGTAATCAGGTAGAGTTGATGGGTCCTGCCATGGAGGAAGCCACCAACTTGACCATAGATGTTTAGGTGCAAAAAATTGTGTGCATAGGAACATTGGTAGCAATTTGTTCTTCAGGTTTCAGTCCAGAGAACATGATGAACTTCAAAATGGTCATTCACAGGAATTCAACTGGTGCCCAGGTAAGTGCTGATATGAGCCTAAACCACAGCACAGGCCATCTGATCTTAGGCCATCTGATCTTCATGTATATAGGTGATGATGGTGTCACATTTTTTTGGCTATATGTTTATCACAACTATTCTGCTAAGTACGAGATAGCCCTTAACAATTGGAGGAACCATGAATTTTCACTTTTTTCTTCTGTAGAGAATGTATGCTCAACCCTTTTAGTGATGAAGAACTGCACATATCTAGGTAACTATCGTGGTGTTCCTCCTCCAGTAGTATCCATGGGAATTTTGAGAGTGTGGTCGGGAAACGATGTTCTTATCTGACAATGGCACTTCCTTGGAGTACTTCAGATATTCAGGTAGTTAATGGTTTCTGCATGATGGCAGTGATCAAGGTTATTTTCAGGCATCCTGATAGAAAAGGTTGTGTTCTTCGACATGTATCTCAAATTATGCTTTTCAGATGCCTGTCCAGAGATCGCAAAGTACCTAAATATGTTTGTTAACAGGAGACATTGCTGGTGTCCAGGTAAGTGATGATATGACATTGACTCATGAGAGACCTTCTGATTTTCAGATATCTGAGCAGTTAATGATATCCTTAAGACACATATATTAACATTGTTTTTGGCATGTGTGTAGTTAGAGAATTAGTTCTTAACAATACTAGTAAACATAAGATTCTCCTGTATTCTTATTTAGAGATAATGCATATTCATCACTCAGAGCAACAGATGAATATGCAGGTATCCAGGTAATTT